GACGCACCGGGCAAGCAGGGCGGGCGGGCGAGCGGCGGGAAGCGGGGGGGGGGCGGGCGGCGAAACGAGCGGGAACGGCGGCCAGGGGCGCCGTTCTGCAGGGAGGGGGCGGTGGGGGCATAAGTAGCGAAGGTGCGTGTGCAGTTGCAGACGCACCGGGCAAGCAGGGCGGGCGGGCGAGCGGCGGGAAGCGGGGGGGGGCGGGCGGCGAAACGAGCGGGAACGGCGGCCAGGGGCGCCGTTCTGCAGGGAGGGGGCGGTGGGGGCATAAGTAGCGAAGGTGCGTGTGCAGTTGCAGACGCACCGGGCAAGCAGGGCGGGCGGGCGAGCGGCGGGAAGCGGGGGGGGGGCGGGCGGCGAAACGAGCGGGAACGGCGGCCAGGGGCGCCGTTCTGCAGGGAGGGGGCGGTGGGGGCATAAGTAGCGAAGGTGCGTGTGCAGTTGCAGACGCACCGGGCAAGCAGGGCGGGCGGGCGAGCGGCGGGAAGCGGGGGCAGCAGGCAGCAGGAAGCAGAGGGTGTGATGGCTAATACATGTCAATAACGTCCTAACTGGGATTGCGGCGCGCCGCCAGCGGGATGCGCAACGCGCCATTTGATGGAAAGCGCGCGCGACGGGAGAACTGATGGGCGGGCGACCCGATCGGTGGCGGGTGCCCTTACGCTGAAGCCTGGAGTGATGAATCATAACGGATCGCTAACTACAAAGGTCGATGCATCACGACGCATCGCTCGCGCGCCAATCCGTGATGCATCAAAACCCCATATACGCCTGATTTTCGCCGTTCTATTTACCTACTGCGTGTCATATTCTCACGCCTCAGTTTTGCCTCCGCAACACTGAGTCGTGAGTTCTATATCCCATACCTTACACCTATACTGACCTGTAGACAGTTGTTATTGTTCAGGTACATACTATATATGAGTTTTGCCTCCGCAACACTGAGTCTTGTTATTGTTCAGCCCCGCTCTCCCGCTGGTCCCTGCGCCTAAACTTCACATGGTAGGCGTCGCTCATCAAAACTCGGGTCTCTCGGCTCAGTCTAAATCCGGCCGGGCCGATGCTCCGAATTCCGCCGACTGCCCTTCGACGAATGGCGAGACTATGCTGTCCAGTATGCTGAGAGTCTCTCAGAGACGGCTCTGGTTATGGTCAAGCAAAGAAAATGGCCAGGGAATTTTGATTACTATACAGGGAGCCAAACGGCGGGAGATACAATGATTTATGTAATTCAGACGGAGAAATACTAGTGGCGTAAAACAAGCTCAACTAGCTGGAGAAACCCAGAACTTGGCTGTGACCCGCGGATTTTTTTCTCGTTTCTCGATGGTGGGATTGTCTAAGCGAGTTGAATCCGGAATTGATAAGACTGTGGCGGTGCCGGAGTCCCGGCCCGATCACAGCCACATGCGACATCTCCTGCTTCCTGCCACGTCAACGAAAGCTGAAAGCTGAGCTCACACTGCAGCCACCGCCACTATGAAGCTACTATGAACTCTCGAGCTGCCCTTCCTCCAGACTTGAGAAGACAAATCCTAGGAACGACAACTCTACCGGCGTCGCGGGCGGCGCACCGCGTCGTCTATCCTGTGAGCCTGTAAATGTGTTGTCAGACGACTCGGAGGAAGCTAAGTCAACGTCTTTACATACAGATCAGAAACATTCGGGGACGAAGCAGATGGGTACAGGCGGATTATGCGGAACCGCGGTAGGTCCGCGTCAAAGCTGCTCCCCGCGCCTACGAAGCACTCCGCGTACGAGACGGTCTATCCCCGAGTCGCGCGCGCGGCTCGAGGTGTCGCTCGCGGCCACTGTGCACGTCACCACCGCGGACTGTGCGCGCAAGTGGACGCAGGGCACGCCGCTTCGCGATCTCCACTTTTCCCGCTTTGTCGTAGCGCTACTTCACGCCAGCCTCACTTTAGGAGCCTGGCCGACGATTTTCTCCCGCGAAAGCGGTGGGGCGAGATCGCTCGTGAGCCGTTTCTACGCCTACCTACTCCGGGGGACCTGACATGGACTTTCCAGCGGGGTACCGTTGGCTTCACACATTGCCTCATTACTGTGTACCACCAAGTCCCCTTACATCCTGTATGTGAGCAACATTTACCCACTATGCATTGTGCGCAAGGATCTTGCAGTCGATGGACGCAGTCTTGACAACCGCTCTTCATCCGAAGTCCAGCAAGAACGAGGCCGAAATGCCCCTGAAATTCTTCGCTTCAATATTGCGTCCATGTCTTCCGCGATCTTGGCTCACGTTCTTCCCACCTGGAAGGAACAAAAGATGTCACATTCCGTTAGCACGCAGGCTTACGCGCACCCGTGTTACGCGTCAACTACAGCAGTCCCTTGCGCCCTCAAAAATCGACCTCACTTTGCGGCATGACTCGGGCCCGACTCGAACGAGCGCCTCTCTACATCTCTACCCCATATCCATTGATGAAAGGTGCGCACCCGCGCCACCGAGTCTTCGAAGTTTATTCGCTGGCACCGCTATGGAAAGCGCTTTCGGGACACCGCGGGAGGACGCGGAGAGTTCGCCAGAAAAAGGACTGCTCACATGATAATAAGTACTGTATGAAGCCCAGCCCGGGTCGAACGGGCACTTGCTCCTTGACATCGCGAGGCGGTTGAGGAAGATGCAGGCTAGTATCTGTCATCAAGACTTTCAAAAATCGCGCTCGGGCGCATATCATACGCTGCGCAGGGTCCGGGACAGGTATTGGAGCCATTTTGTACTTGCGTCGAACTCGGTTCAGGTGTAAGTACTTACCACAAGACATTGGAGAAAACTGCTAGAATACGTTCTTTTTGGACTCGGTTTTCATCTTCCTCTAACGTGAACGCGTGAACGCGTACTCGCGGCGCAATTGCGGCCTAGAGCCAAGTACCGGCTAGTTCAACATCCAAGTAAGTATAATCGGCTCAATTTTGCCGATGTGCCGAGGAGCTCTGAAAAACGTCGGAAAGGCGGTTTTCTTGAGACACCTTCAATCCACGATCCCGATCCTCGAGCACGAAATCAGTAGTTGGGATGCCGAAGCACTTGAGTTATGGAACGGTTGCGCTGCCACAAATTGATCCGCTTAATAAGCACCACCTTCTTTGTCCACTCTATTTTCTTGCTCTTGCTTGCTCCCTCACGATGGTCAAGCTCACGGGAGATACAGCGCGTAGCACGCAGCACGGCTCACGCGTCGCAGCGTCCTTCATCGTGTCGTACGACTCGTACCTCTTCGACACGCAGACCTCGCTCACCCAGTAGCACCTCGACACGATCCCCACGTCCGCGAACCCGCCGTGCTTGATCGATCATCGCTCATGCAGCACCGACGCAGTGCAGCCTCATCCAGCTCTCCCCGTCTCTTCCATCTGGTTGTGGTTCTCAGATGGCATTCGCGAAGCGCCGTGAACAAGGTGGGCCCGCTCGGGCTGCTGCAGTCGTACAAGACGACGCCGGGCGGAGGGTCCATGCTCCTCGATGAGAGGGCTCCTGAGGGAACGGTACCGGGTGCTGCGCGCCCTCATGATGGATGATTGTACTGTACGTGCGCTCCAGATCCCCTCCGCTTGAGCGTCTATCTCAGTCTGATCTCGCGGTATTCAGCACGGCTCGGGCGACGACGAGATCATCCCCACCGCGAACGGTGGCGCCGCATTAGACAGACCACCTCCGTGCTGCTCCCGTTCCCGCCCTCGCCCGGCGGCGTCTCGCTTTCGAACCCGTGACTGGCGCTCGAGTACGGAGAGGAGGTCCTCGTGCCTGAGCCCTTCTTGCTCTCCCGCCGGGCTCATTGGCGTGGAATGCAGGGCGGCGGCACGATCCGGCGCATCGGGCAGACGGACGCCATCCCGCAGCCCGCCGTGCTCGGTGCGTCGCTCCCCTGGCCCCTCATCCCAAAGCACGAACAGCGCGCAGACTCAACGCTCTACACCCTGCACGAACCCGCCACACCATCGCCGCGGTGCGCAGCGCGTCCCCGCCCGCCCGCCTTCCCCAATGGCACCGCCGCCCCGCCGCGCCGTGGCTCTGCGCGGCGAACCGCAACATCGGCGGCGCGCGGCGCTGCGGGCGGGACGCGTGGGCGGCGCAGGACGGGTGCGGCAGGTGCTCACGGGCTTGAGGAACGTCGGCGGGCTGGGGCTGCCCCGCGCGCGCGGTCCGGTGGGGGGGCACAACGAGGACGGCGGGGAACGGGGGCGCGGTTTCTCGTCTGGGGGAGGTGGCGCGGAACACGAGCGCGGTGCTGTGGGCAGTGGAGGTTTGGGGGACGCGGTCGTGGATCGTGGATCGTGGAGAGCAGGGCGGGAAAGTAAGTGCAAAGTCCTTAGCGTTCAAAATGCCGTTCGTTCCGCCTGATTTCGTACGCAGGTTGAATAAACTCGTTAAATCGACGCGGAGGGTGACAGTCGAGGAATATATATGTCCTACCTCGCAAGAAGCAAAAAACAACGAGCTCTGAGATCTGAGACGCTGGTATTTAGGCTCGACCAGTGCGCTGCGTGGCGGATGGCCCGCAGCTCTCTGTGCTTTGCCATGTGCTCCTTCTTCAGCGCTCAGCGGAGAAGCCGCCCGTTCGATTCGGGATCGAGTCATGTCTCTCGGAGACCGTACCTTTTTTCCAGGACCTACTGCTGAGCTCAGAGCGATGGCGGTGTCCCCATCCACTCCTGGGCTCATATATCATAATCCGCAACGGAGAAGCCCTTCAATCGATTTGGGACGAGTCATTCAGGACGGGAAGAGTTTTTCTGCCAGTGGCTGAGTTGAATGGTCTTTCTGAAGCTCTGCACACGGTTCCAAGAGACGCTGAGTGGCCGGCTTCAGTACAAGAACATACGGTTTCAAACACATTCGGAAGATGACCGTCAAGCAGCAAGACGTCCGTGCTCCAATCAATTATGCTCCCAGCACTCCCATCGTTCGTCCACCGCACTCTTAGCTCTTAGCTGTCGGACCGACCACCTTGTCCTCAGACCCCAACTATATACATGCCGACTCGGTGGCGGAAGGTCCGCGTCTCCTGCTGCTACATTTGGATACTATAGTTGTCGGAGAAGCCGCCCGTTCGATTCGGGCCCGAGTCATCCAGGTTCAGCGATCGAGTTGTTTTGCTTTGCTGGCTGATTCTTAGCGTCTCGAGCTGGAACGCGGCGCCCGGGTGGGCGCGATGTCGCACTAAATAGGCTTTCGGTGCGTCGTCCGGATCACTGCGCGAGATCAGAATGTTGGAGGCTGAAGTTTAACTAGGATTCGCCCCGTTCAAAGACGTGCAGAGACTCGGTGGCGGAAGGTCCGCGTCTCCTCCTGCTACACTTGGACACGATTGCTGTTGGGGAACCCGCCCGTTCGACTCGGGCCCGAGTCATTTGGCGCCAATGTGTTTTTCTTGCGGCTCGTGAAGCTCTACACCGGGTTCTGCTGGGTGGCTGAGGTGCTGCGGAACGAGAACGTATGATTCCAGAAAAAGTGGGTCCGTAGTCTTGGTGTGTCTTCCCCTGTACGGCTGCTGGGGCAAGCCGACACATACTTCCGTTCAGGGCGCGCGCCCCTTCAACGGCTCGGTGGCGGACGGCCCGCATCTCCTGTTGATAGACGCTGCCCGATCATTAAGCATCAACGGAGAAACCGCCTGTTCGATTCGGGCCCGAGTCATTTAGATTCCCCCTCGTATCGAGCTGTTTTGCTTTGCTGGCTGATTCTTAGCGTCTCAAGGTGGAACGCGGCGCCCGGGTGGGCGCGATGTCGCACTAAATAGGCTTTCGGTGCGTCGTCCGGACTCCGGATCGCTGCACGAGATCAGAATGTTGGAGGCTGAAGTTGAACCAGGATTGATATATTGATATTCGCCCCCTTCAGAGAGGTTCGAAGACTCGGTGGCGGACGGCCCGCGTCTCCTCCTGCTGCACATTGCGCGTGGGTACATCGTCGGAGAAGCCGCCCGTTCGATTCGGGCCCGAGTCATTCACCTTTTTGGCGTGTGTTGAGCGTCTCCCTGGAGCTCTGTTCTGTTGGTGCTGGGTGGCTGAGGTGCTGCTGAATGGGAACGTATGATTCCAGAAAAAGTGGGTCCGTAGTCCGTAGTCTTGGTGTGTCTTCCCCTGTACGGCTGCTGGGGCAAGCCGACACGTACTTCCGTTCAGGGCGCGCGCTTCTTCAACGACTCGGTGGCGCAAGGCCCGCATCTCCTCCTCCTACACTGTTTAATGGTATCATCAACGGAGACGCTGCCCGTTCGATTCGGGCCCGAGTCATCCAGGTTCAGCGATCGAGCTGTTTTGCTTTTGCTGGCTGATTCTTAGCGTCTCGAGCTGGAACGCGGCGCCCGGGTGGGCGCGATGTCGCACTAAATAGGCTTTCGGCGAGTCGTCCGGATCACTGTCAACGCACGAGATCAACATGAATCTTGAAGCTGAAGGCTCAAGTTGAACCAGGATTCGCCCCGTTCAAAGACGTGCAGAGACTCGGTGGCGGATGGCCCGCATCTCCTGCTGCTGTACACGCTGCCCGATCATTAAGCTCCAACGGAGAACCCGCCCGTTCGATTCGGGCCCGAGTCATTTAGATTCCCCGTCGTATCGAGTTGTTTTGCTTTTGCGGGCTGATTCTTAGCGTCTCGAGCTGGAACGCTGCGTGATGTCGCAGCGTCAATCCGAGCTCAAGCTTAAGGCGTGAGGAACGACCGACAGGGTTCGAGAACTACTTCTGTACGGTTCCGTGCCAGTCCGGATGTTCAAGTTGAAACGCGACGGTGGTGCGGTACAGTACATGCTCTCCTTCTCCTAGTTCCAGGTGCTAACAATCTGATACGAAACGCGGCGTTGATGCGTGGTTCAAAGACATCCGCACGCTAAGTGGTGTTACTTATGTTCGGAGCGAGAGTTCCTGGAGCCTGAAGCTGAAGAGGGAGGACTGAGATTCTGGACTCGGAGCGCCTCCGGACCGCGACTTTTGGACAGAAATTCCGGTGAGGGGGGGGATATTCTTTCGTCTTACTGCACGAGTTCAGACGGATGTGAAAGGCTGAAGGCTGAGCTTTTGTAACACGCGCGAACTTTCTCTCGGAGCGACAGCTAGGAGCTTTCGGTCACTCGGTGAGTCCTGGATCACTGCATGAGACCAGAGATCAGACGAATTTCAAAGCTGAAGCGCTGAAGCACTGAAGGCTCAAGTTGTCCCAGGATTTGTCCCCTTCAGAGAGGTCAAAAGACTCGGTGGCGGATGGCCCGCATCTCCTGCTGCTAGGCATTCTGCTACGATGATCAACAAGCTCAACGGAGAACCCGCCCGTTCGATTCGGGCCCGAGTCATCTGCTTGAGGAGAGTTTTTTTTCTTGCGGCATCGATCGTGGAGCTCTACACCGGGTTGTGTTCAGTTGGTGCGAAGTGGCTGGTAGCTGCTGAAGGAGAACACATGATTTCAAGCAGAATCGCGGTCCGTAGTCTTCCCCTGTACCGCGGCTGCTGGGGCAAGCCGACATTGCATACTTCCGTTCAGGGCGCGCGCTTCTTCAACGACTCGGCGGCGGATGGCCCGCGTCTCCTGCTGCTACATTTGGATACCATAGTTGTCGGAGAAGCCGCCCGTTCGATTCGGGCCCGAGTCATCCAGATTCAGCGATCGAGTTGTTTTGCTTTTGCTGGCTGGTTTTTAGCGTCTCGAGCTGGAACGCTGCGCCTGGCCCCGATGTCGCACCGTGAATCCGAGCTCAGGCGCTCAAGGCGTGAGGAACGACCGACAGGGTTCGAGAACTACTTCTGTACGGTTCCGTGTCAGCCCGGATGTTCAAGTTGAAACGCGACGGTGGTGCGGTACATGCTCTCCTTCTGCTAGTTCCAGGTGCTAACAATCTGATACGAAGGGCGGCGTTGATGCGTGGTTCAAAGACATCCGCACGCTAAGTGGTGTTACTTATGTTCGGAGCGAGAGTTCCTGGAGCCTGAAGCTGAAGAGGGAGGACTGAGATTCTGGACTCGGAGCGCCTCCGGACCGCGACTTTTGGACAGAAATTCCGGTGAGGGGGGGATATTCTTTCGTCTTACTGCACGAGTTCAGACGGATGTGAAAGGCTGAAGGCTGAGCTTTTGTAACACGCGCGAACTTCCTCTCGGAGCGACAGCTAGGAGCTTTCGGTCACTCGGTGAGTCCGGATCACTGCATGAAGACGAACGTTGACGTTGAAGCTAAAGGCTCAAGTTGAACCAGGATTAATATTCGCGACGTTCAGAGAGGTTCAAAGACTCGGTGGCGGAAGGTCCGCGTCTCCTCCTGCTGCACATTGCGCGTGGGTACATCGTCGGAGAAGCCGCCCGTTCGATTCGGGCCCGAGTCATTCCAGGGGAAGTACTAGCCTTTTTAGCGCAGGTTGAGCGTCTTCCTGGAGCTCTATTCTGTTGGTGCTGGGTGGCTGAGGCGCTGCGGAACGAGAACGTATGATTTCAGAAAAAGTGGGTCCGTACTGGTGCGTCTTCCCCTGTACCGCGGCTGCTGCCAAAGCCGACACATACTTCCGTCCAACACTTGCCCCCTCCAACGACTCGGTGGCGGACGGCCCGCGTCTCCTTCCCATAACAAGCTACTCCTGAAGGGCCGCCTGGAGAGCCCGCCCGTTCGATCCGGGCCCGAGTCATCTGCTTGAGGAGAGTTTTTCTTGCGGCTTCGTGAAGCTCTGCGCCCGGTTCTGTTGGTGCTGGGCGGCCGGAAGCTGCCGGCCGAGAACACAAACTACAATGCGGTTCCACAACTTACAAAACATAATCGATATGCATAATCACCGGTCCGGTCTTTGGCCTTGCTTTTAGTAGCACCTTCATACCGCTGCACATACTTCCGTCCAACACTGGCCCCTCCAACGACTCGGTGGCGGATGGCCCGTCTCCTGCTGCTAGGCGTTCCGATCAAAAAGCATCAACGGAGAACCCGCCCGTTCGATTCGGGCCCGAGTCATATAATGACCGAAGACGAGCTTTTTCTTTGTAATTATGAGTCTCCCACTCTCCTACTCTCCTACCCGCTCGTGGTTAATTGATTCCGCAGACCTTCCCGGGTTGAGTGCTAGTGCTGAGCGCTGAGAGCTGAGACCGATTTTGCATCATACGTGGCCGTGCCAAACTCCGATCCCGAAGTCCGGACCCGCGGATCGAATCTGATTCTGCGGACTGCTGCTGCGGTGCGGCCGGGCAGAGGCATCGCGGCAGGCACGGCAGCGAAAGCGGTGTTGAATGTTGTTGGACATGGAGTATTAATTGGATCTTATGTAGAGGCGGGTCTGGATTGGCATGCGATGCGCGGGATCAGCGGCCATCAACCCGAGCCGAGCCGAGGAGCGGCACGCACGGTGTCGATTTTCGTATCTCAGTGGTCGGAACTTAGTACTCAGCGCTCGGAAGCCTCAACCTGCGGCGCTGCTTCGTACCCTCCGTTGTGGTGTGCCCGACAGCGGGTAGAGCTGTAGACAGCGCGTAGTGTAGCTTAGATACGGATCTCGTTAGCTTAGTCATACATTGGGTTTTCTTCCTCCGCTTCCACCCTCCCGCTGCGAGCCCCGCTGGCTCATCTCCCTTGAGAGGTCGCAGACCCTCTCCACCGTTGGCCCGGCGCACGACCTCGACGGCCGGCCCTGAGCATGATATTACCGATTCTCGAACATATAATTAAATTTGAAACCTCAACGCATGCTCGACTTATCATAAGCCAATGCTTTGAGATCAATAGTGCGGCGGCGCGGTAGCACAAAGTACGGATCGATCGAACGCCCTGCCGCAACACTAACAGTTATAATGAGGCGGGGAGCATCGCGGCTCGCGGGTGATTTTATATGAGAATTTAGACTGACCAAGCCAGGCGCGCGTATGTGGAGCATATCCATCAGGCCTAGGCAGCAACGGTCAACGACGCAGGGTCTCGCAGGGTCCTATCCTATCCATCCTATCCAATCCCGTCCCATCGCGGGCTCACAGCGCTCACACTCGCCGTCCCCGTCCCCGTCCCGCGTATCGTCCCGTGGATGGAACCACCGGAACACAATAAGTAGTCAGCGCCTCCCGAGTCCCACGCGCCTCGCACGCGCCGTCAAATCGCGCTGACCTGGTGACCAGCCTGAGTCATCAGCATGACAACGATGACGAGGGCCAGGCACCGGCTATTCCCGTTTACATATTTGCGTTCACTAGACACTAATTATAGATAGAGGCGTAACTTAGTAGTTAGGGGCTGGTTAGGCATCTGCGCCCGGGGCACGTCCCATGGGATTAGGAGGATGGGAGATGGGAGAGGTTAGGATGGGAGAGATGAGATTAGGAATAGAGATGCGAGAAGAAGGAAGGAGATGGAGATTAGCGCGGGGGCTTATCGATGTCTTCATCTTCGCGCTGATCATGACGACGATGCTTCGCGTGATCCGTGCTCCGTGCCCCGCGCTGCCCCGCCAGGCCCCCGGTCACTCAGGCCTACGTCGGTCCGCTGTAAAGTAAATCAACGACCCAAAACCGACCCTATGTACGTCCGGTCTGTAAGGTAAATCAGCTCCAAAAGAGTCAAGCTTGCTCCGATGTAAGGTAAATCGGGCGCAGCCCGGGATTTTTTTTTGCAGTTGAAGGTCTTCAAACCTGGTGTCAAAGTAAGAAAAATCTACAGGAAACCAGTTATATCTTACCTGGCACGCGAAAGAGTGTGACGCAGCCTGCGCGCTACACAGCAGAAGCCCATGGCCCAAAAAAGTTGAAAAAAACACGAAAAACTGGCCAAAAATCGGATTTTAGGGCAGGAATGTCGGTCCGATGTAAGGTAAATCAAGCCCCAGATGCAGCCAAATCGTAAGGTAGATCAACGAAATTTTGGGCCCTCAGCGGAGCGACCTAAGGCTGAGTGACCGGGGGCCTGCCCCGCCCTTCCAAGTTCCGTTTGCCAGGTTGCTACGGCGCAGTACCGTTTCTATTGCATATTTATGTTGGGGCGGAGGGTCTGCTGACCCCGGGGGGACTGCTTCGGGGAAGATGAAGGGAGCCGGCGCCGGGAGGACAAGGAGGACAACTTCAAGGGAGAAATGGAGTGGAGCGTTGGTATGCCGACGCCGACTCCGAGTCGCGCATGTGCCTCGCCTCGGAGCGCGAATTAGTAATAGTAGCCAGGCTCCTCGGATATCTCCGCAGCCACCTAGCCCTGTATTCGTATTCGTATTCGTACATTCGTATGCGCATCCGCCGTGCATATCGAATTCCGCTGGTAGCTGTATTGTATTGTATTCATCTATTCATTTATATCGGTATGGGGACTTTGAGTTTCGCTTCGCTTTTGGTTGGTCTCAAATCTCGTCGGTGCTCCAAAAATACTTGAATCCAAATGCGCGCTCGACCCCAGCGTGCACGAGAACGAGCGCACGTCCCGCCCGGACGTATCGTCCCACGTCCTCGCAGTGCGCACAGACCGCAGTTATTGTTGCAGATACGCTTTATTTATTGTGTACGTGTTAGTATGTTTATCGTGTGCGCGTGGTTGATTGTGCCTATCTTACAGTACGTGCGTCGTTCTGTTTCTCGTCTTCCTACCACTGCCAGAAATAGCTCCGCTGCATAATGGCATTACGTTCAATCCATTCCGCGACGGGCCGGCACCGATCGTATCGTTTTAATTGTTTTAATTGATTATTGTACAGGCGCAGGAAAGATCTAGAGGAGGCATCACGGGCCCTCGAAGATTTTGAGTTTCATCTTGCCTATATGATGATTATCTGATTTTATCTTTTGTCCCGCAGCTCCAAAAATACAAATGCGGGGGCAGGGGTGCGGAGTCAGGGGCGCCCGGGGGTGATATGTTAGTGCTCTTTATCCAGGTTTGGTGGGCAGGAAACCGTAGGATGCTGAGCGCTGAATCGCAGTGGAGCCTGCTGAGTCGGAACCACTCGCGGCGTGCACGCGTGCTCGGCGGGATGGGCTTTGAACATGTGAGCGCGTGAGCACCGAACGGACGGACGGGCTGGGATCGTGGGATCGAGCTTGCGAGCGGGGGATCCGGATCCGCAATGTGCATTGAAAGTGCGAGAGGCTATGTAGGAGACCACAGGCGCTAGAGACGCGGAGACGCGGAGACGCGATTTCGCGGGACGATTGCGCCTGCGGGCGGGCCGGGGTTCTGCATCACCAAAAGTGGGGGCATGTGTTATACCTTTGTGGCTTGGCATCACGCAGATGTGGGTTTATAAGATTTTGTGAAGGTTTATAATCTCCCACCTGGCAGATGAGGCCGTTACAATCCTCCAAAATGATTGTATCCCCCTTGTAAATGCACATATGGCTTATTCCTGGTACCTGACTAGGTTCCAGGTCTCCAACGCGAATTAGAAACCGACACATCAGTGCCGATCATGACGGTCCGACTTCCGATCATCGTAAATAATCAAATGATTTTAAACGGCGTTGAATATTGATATCTGAATCCTGATATTGTATTGATACAGATGCGTGTCCATGACGTCCATTGACCAGCGCTCAGCGGGCGTTTCAGCACGGGCGCGGCCTCGGAGCCTGCGCGCCGCGGAATGCGGAGCCTGCGCGCCGCGGAATGAGATTGTGAGTATCGGACTCCGGACTCGGAGCCCACGTGCGTCGAGGCGGTGGCAGAGCAGGCGGGGTTGACCGCGGGGGAAGACGCGGAGCTGGAGCCGCGGCGCGGCGCGGCGCCGGAGCCCGCAGAGCGGGGGATCAACGCCGTTGATTCAGCCAACGGACGCGTGTGGCGTCACGCCAGACGCGGTCCCGCGTCCGATCAGCTGTTGAACCGCATGACGTCCGAGAAGTAAGTAAGCCGCCTATCAGTATCCTCCACCGAGTCCCGCCTCCCTGGTCCGGCGCGAGGCGTCGAGTTGCCTTTGTTTTCCGCGTCGTACGTCTCGCCGCTATTATGGATCGTGACAGCGCGCCTCCACCGCCGCCGCGTAAGGTCCGTGCACCCACAATATCACCATGTCAATCAATGGCGACCTCTTCTTCACCGAACTTCGAATCATGATTCCCGATGCTCGACGCTCGACGCCCGAGTCCCGGGGGGTGCGAGGCTCGGAATCCGGATCTCCGTTGGTCGTCGCGCATTCGGAATCGCTGCACCGCGGTTGCCCGTCGCAAGATAATTTACTGGTGTGCGGGCTGGAATCGGTCGTATTCAACCAGTCTACCAGTCTACCAGATTACTGATTACTCCTATTCTATTGTATTATCTCGGATTAGTATCATCTTATAGCAGAACGAGGTCCGGCAGCGCCGTGTTGTCCAAGTGCAAGGCCATCCAGCGCCGTGTTGAGTTCGCTCGAGCTGCAAGGCCATCCCGGCGATCACCGGCAGACAAGTGGTGTCCGGGCCCGGCGCCCGGGGCCGCGATAATCTCGATTCTCGATTCTCGATAACCCAAGCAGCTCCGTCTCCTGATCCGTGCTATCGATGCGTGCTATCGATGCGGCACGGAGTCGGACGCGAGACGCCAGACACGGGGACGGAGCCGGGGACGGGGACGGGGCCCGCGGCCGATCACATGGGTTGAAGTTCTGAAGTTCTGATTCCTGAACCGGACGCAGACGTGACGAGGGGAGTAGATAGTTATCGTGTTATCGTGTTATTGTGTTATTGTGCTGTTATTGTA